CCAACCGGCGGGGTCCGAAAGGCAAACCATGGTCTCACTCACTGTGTCAGCGTCTCACTCAACACAGCGCAAAGGCTTCTATAAGAATAGGAGGAGAGCAGTCTTCATATTGATGAGAGCAAACCCTGCGGCGGGATCCTTTCCGAACCAAGCCGTGATCATAAGATGGGCAATGGAAATCTTGCACGATTTTCAACCGGCAACGGTAGGAGTGAGGCTAGAGCCAAAAATGCCGGCAGGAGTAGGCGGCTCGAAAAAAAGATCGCGACCTAAATAAAATATACAAATTTAAATAAAATAATACAGATATTGAAAATTATACTAATTATTGAAAAAATGTATTGAAAAAATACAAGAAAAAAATGGACATACAGTCCAGTAAGTTTAAAAAATCAAAGGATTAAATTTAAATCAAAGAAAAGTTAAGGATAAATCAAATTTATTTAAATAAATGTTAATCCAAAAAGCATAAAATTTACACATTTTTTGTGGCCCTTCACAAATTTTTCAAGCATTGAACACAATAAAAATTCCAAAGATAAAGTTTCAAGGGATCGGTCCCATGGAAATACGAGATGAAGAGCATGGTCTAAAACCGGTCGCCTGCAGCCTAAAAAAAAACAGAAGTGGTGCGCTTATCGCACTTAAGAAAGCAGGTCAGCGTGCAGTGCGTTGATAAGTATTTTTAAATAGATTTAAGATTTTCACGTATCTTTCGTTTTAAAGAATTTTATGAAAATTAAACAGTTTTGAAACCGAACTCATTTTAGTATTTTAGTAAGAGGGGGTCCAAGGATGTTCCCCAAAGACCTTAAAGACCCCAAAGGACGTAAACGAGATGCACGGGCGCTTCATGGAGGGGAAGCGTAGGTCCACCACCGGAATGCAGGCTGGTAGCTTAAAGGCGATAGCGTTGCAAGTTGCCGGTTCTGTAGGGTACGAACAAGCGTACGAACACCACGCTTGGTTTACCCGGGAGAGAGGAAGAGGTTTACCCGGGAGCAAAGCTGAAGGCGGTTGACTGGGACGAAATCCCAAAGGCCCGCGTAGGGCTTACAGAAAACCCAGTCGACCCTAACACCACCCTGGCAGTACTAAAGTTGTGTAACCCGACACTCCCCAAAAGGCAAAAGCTCTTAGAGGCGTCAGAATAGAGGAGCTCCGAGATATAAACAGAGATTTCTGAGGTGTAGAATCTCAGGGATGACTTTAACAATCCTGCAGATAAACCTTCAACCACAATAAGGTGGCATCAGAAGAAGCTTGGGAGGCTTAAAAACGTAGGGCAAGAAGGAATGCCTGGACCAGTTTCTGCTGAAGCATTCAGGGGACCTCGAAGGCCTCCTGTCTTAGGAAGATCCTCGCTAACTCTTGCACCTTTACCCTGCATACCATTGCACCAAATGCAGCTGGACCATGTCCAGCAAGGAATCCTAGGAGCTCTCACCAACGCAGACTTTCCAAGATGCTCACAGGAGGATAGGCGGAGCGAGTGGACTCGAGTCCACTCGAATACCTATAGGAATACCTAAGTAATAAGTAAAAAGCCCTTTAAATCTCCAGGCTCAGATGGCATCTTCCCCGCCCAATCCGGACAAACTTAGTGTTCTATAAGCATGGGCAGATAAGAACGGGCCAGGAGTTAATCCATCCAAGAACTTTTCCTATTCACTAGTATAGTATAAACTATATATAAAGTTTAAGATTCCCAAAGCTTTTAGGGGAAACTCTTACTCTTAGTGGTAACGCTAAATACCTAGAAATTACGCTAGACAGGAAACTGGACTGCAAGCTTAACATCATGCATAGAGAAAACAAAGCGGCTAACGTGCTCTATACCTGTAGTAAGACCATTGGGCTTTAAATCCAAAAATCCAAATAAGATGTCTATACACACTGGTCATTAGACCTATCCCATTCTATGGGGTAGTGGTCTGGTGGGCTGTTTAAGGTAGGGAGGGGGGTTGGCCCGAAGCTGATTGGCTAGGTGGGATGCGGTTTCTTTGTCTAAATGAGTCCTTCAGACTTCATAGCTAGCTGAAGTCGCAGCTTTTTTGGAATCACTGTAAATGACAGTCGCAAATCTCTCAACGAAATGGCGGAGCAGCATGATTTTCTTTTAATGTAGGATCCCGGTCATAGGGACCACGAGGGAAATGAAGCCGCTTACGAATTAGCAAGGGCGGGTATTATAAACCTCTCTTCCCGGAGAAAGAACAAGTAGGAATCCCCTTAGCAACTTGTAGGCTAAAATGCAGGGAATACTATAACCTGGTAGGACTGAGGATATGTAGAAATCTCCAGAACTGCAAGATCTCGCGCATGATTTGGCCCATCCGCTAATGAAGCTTATCTTCCTTAATAGGCAGGACTGCAGTCTAGCAAATAAGGCCATTCCTGGATGCAGCAACACTTACGGACCTAACAGATCTCACGGAGATCGCTCCACGCGAACTAGACATATAGACACTCAAGTATATAGGAAGACCTTTGCGGTATCACAAGAAAAAAAAAATTGGTTAAAACTGATTCATTTAATTATTAATTTAAACATCGGACATCAGTCATTCTTTCACAGTTTATTCTGAATTCTAGTGGTAACACCCAAATTCTCAAAAAATAGTTCCAGAAACCATAACCAAGTTAAAATTGTCAATAAATATGCACTACATAAAGTAATTTTAATTTTATTTAGTAAATATTTTTTTTGGGTTTCTGAAGATAAATATTAGTTATAATATTTTACCTACTAATTAATGATACTTTATAGTTATTTATTATTTAAATTTGCAGACTTAATGTGTCTTTCCAATTCACCAAAATATTTAACGTGTGTAAATAAATGTGCGCGTTTTTTTTCGACAGGTTTTTAAATAAATTAATACAGTCAAGGAAAATTGTAAAACAAAAATGTCTGCCATTTTAGGTTTTTAGATGTATTATTTAAGCTTATATTTAATAGCACAGATAGTAATAGTAATTTTTTTAGAAAAAGCTTCTTTCAAATAAGGTTTGTATGACACTGTTTGGATTTTCGTCTGTTTGTACATTTTGTTTTACTTAAAATTTCGTAGGTGAAGAATTAGTGGCAACGTAATCTAACATCCGTTATAATTGTGCTACTTTTTATAGCCAACTTGATTAGACATTTATACACATACAACATATATATTTGGGAAATGTTGCTCTCATTATGTATAAACAGACAATACGAATGCGTTTATTTTTTAATATTTATTTAATTTAATTTTGGGACTTTAGTTTCAGATTTGAAGTTTATCTTTGCTTTTACAAATATTTTGTGATACAAGAATGTATTTTATACCTGGTGTGAATAAATATTTGTTTAGTTAATGCATTCAGTAAAATATTTATGAATGCCGCAAAAATAATTTTTCAATTAATCTTTAACTACTACACTTATTTTCTAATTATTGTTACCATTGGGATGAGATAAGTAAATGTGCCTAGTTATATTCTTATAATTGCTATGACGTATCCAAACTAAAAAAAAGTATTTAGTGCGTGGTTATTCTGTTCGGTGGATATAAAAATAATTTCGTTTATATGATCAATATGGTTTTACGGTTTTTTGCTGATCTGATTTAAATTCATAAGATACACATTAATTTTTTTTACTTTTTTTAAAGAAAACAAATTTTACACGAAAATAGATACAAATTTTTATTGTTGTGTAAATTTTGTGTATCATCACTGTTAGGATACGCCCCTATTTATTTTCTTTTTGTATACATCGGGTTACATTTAAGTTTTTTTTTGTTTTTAAAATATTTTTTAATTTTACTTTTTTTTTCTTGCCATGATATATGGAGTGCGTATGTGATAAGAGCTTAGCGTGATATCGTATGCGAAAAATGTTTCAAATTTTTTTTATTGGTCCATTAATATGGATAATATCTATAGCTATAAGAATCTTAAAAATGATTTAATGCGGAATACCCAAAAAAAATTTAAAAAAGGTTCCAGTTGAGCTCGAGTGGCCGAAGGCGTTATATGTTAATGGCAAGTGAGGTTTAAGAAGGACTTTGCGTTTTACGAACCGATATGCATCTCGTGTGTCAGTTAGATTTTAACTATTCATGTATGATTATATGTGGCAGCGCCATTGATGGGTAAGGTTTTTCTGAGATTTTATGATATGAATCGAATGTTATGGTATTTCGGTAGTTTACCATGTGCTACACATGTGCTGCTTTGATTACACAAGATAACGGCAAAATACTTCACTCCTTATCCATACCCTTGGACTCCCTGAACCATTGTTCCGAATAAAACTTATTGTAAAATATGATACGTTGTGGAAATGGGTAAAATTATGTGTGAAGTATAATATGATCCGTTTTGCCAGCCTGTGGTAAATTCATTAATATTCATTTGAATTGCTCTCTTTTTATTAATTTTATATGAGATATTGAGCTATTTTTTTTATCTAATAACTAAATAAACGCGTTGATGTCTTACATCTTTATATTTTCTTGCTTCTAATTTCAATTAAATTCGAAAAGAATGAGAATGTTTCTTATACATTATCCTGTTAAATCTTTTAACTTAAACAAAAATATTTAAATATTTCGATCCGTTGGAATTTTTGCAATAGTTTTTTTACGGTTCAAAGTATATAAAAATAAATATCTGAAAAAACTATTATTAAAATTTTAACATTACATTTTCATTTTTTATTTACCAATCTTTTTGACGCTAGAGTTTCGATTTGCGAAAATTTATTTCTCCAAATACCGAATAAATTATTAAACAAAGTTACCAAATTACCGTTTCCAAGCCTTGCCTATCTTTCAGCTTCTCACATGCATTAGATTTACAGTTTTACTCTCTGGGACGACTTCACGACCTTAGCAGCAGTTTTTTTTTTTTTACTGAAATTTATACAGATTTTTTAAACAAATAGGTACAGTTCATTTATTTTCAGATATAATTGCGGCTGTGAAAATTTTGTGAACATAAATTGAACAAATTAAAGGTTGTTTTGCAATATTTTACAGAGTATGATTTTATTGCCCAAAACTAACAAAATTGTATGTCACAAGTTGGTTAACTCGCGGGCTGCGGGCTATTTTTGCATATTTGCTTAAAATAATATCACAAACATCTAAACGCATTCTAAACACTTTTATTGACTTAGCTTGCATAAATTGCAAAACTAAAAAACAAAAAATTAAAAGAAAGCATAATTTAATAAATTTGCTGACATACAGAAACGAATAGATTTTCAAATTGTATTTCATTTATAAACTTAAACTGGTAATAAATTAAAAAAACCCTACAAAATAAGCATAAGTCAGCTCACAAATTGTCTACTTACATACAATACACATAATAAATTACAACTAAAAATTAACACACATAGTTTTGAATGTCGTAAACAATAATACTATAATCTAACAAAAACTAAAGAGAGCAAAGAACAAACCCTTAAGCTTACGTCAAATTTGTCCATCTGGATTCAATATATTGGACCAAAAATTGAAATTTTGTTCAAACTTTTAGGGCCAAATGTAAAAAATAAACACACTTCGCTGCTCTTCGTTTTCTAATTCTTATCTACAATCTTTCGCAATGCTCCTCGCTTTGTTTGGCATAGTTTTGTTTTAATTTTTGTGGTTAAATTGTTTCATTTACTCGGCTTTGGGATGCGACTCATCTCTAGCGCTTGCTTTATGTCATACAAAGTCCAGGTCGGAGCGAGTGCTATACATCTTTCGCTCCATTGTGCGTTCAAACCACTTCTTAACCTCCGACACAATTAGCACAGACGACGTCAGCGAGACCAGGAAAAAAATGTCGAATGGAGTTAAAGCTTCCGTCTGAAAGACCATTTGCAGTGGCGGAAAATATACGACAAGCATTTGGCCTACGATAGAGAAAGCAACAGCCAACAGAAACATGCGATTAGTAGTCAGACCTATGGTAAATACGCTTTTGGTCTGTGAGCGACATGACAAGGCGTTAAACATATCGAAAAACACAAAGCATGTGAAGGTCATGGTCGTATCCCGCTTTGTTTTTCCTAGCGTTCCATCAGCCATTTCGCGCTGAAACACCCATAAGGTTCCTAGTACTATGATACTGGCGCTAAGGAGAACATTGGCCACAACACCCTTCGTGATCATCGGTTGCTTCACATTACGCGGCTTCTGCTTCAGTACGTCATGATCAACTGGTTCTACTCCCAGGGACTGTGCAGGTGGCCCGTCCATAATAATATTAATCCATAGAATTTGCATAGCGTTAAGTGGATTAGCAATATCCATGAGCGTGGCGAGCGCGATGAGGGCCAGAGCAGCGATTGAAGTACTAAGTTGAAAGCGCACAAAATTACGAATATTGTAGAATATGCCCTTCCCTTCCTCAATGGCAGCACTGCAAACAAAGAATTTTATTATGGGTTATGGGTCACCTTTTGCACACCGCTTATGTTCTAATGACAAACATGTACTCACATAATTGTGTGGAAATCGTCGTTGACCAGAATCATGTCGGCTGCTTCCTTGCACACATCTGTACCGTTCTTTCCCATTGCAATACCAATATCTGCTTTTTTTAGAGCAACGCCATCGTTGACGCCGTCTCCTGTCATGCCGACTATATTTCCAGTGCGCTGCAGAGACTTGACTATCTCCAGTTTGTGGCGAGGGGAGACACGGTAGAATACGCTTACGTTGTTGGCCACCTTGTCCAGCTGGTGCTCGTTCATTTGGTCTATTTCTTGGCCCGATAAAGTCTGATGGTGTATGGTGTCGATGCCGATGAGATTCGCTGAAAATAAATTGTAATTTTATTATATTACCAAGGACCAAGAACAAGTAAACATGGGCATCTGAAGTCGAGTTATCCGACAATATCATACTTTTTCCTTCATTTTCTTCCACACACAACCTGTCTTTCAATAAAATTAATTGTTTATCCAACAAAACTTTCAAGGTGCAGAATTTAATTTAAATTTTTCAAAATTTAGTGTGCTGTGAATTTCACAGTGTGAAACCAACTACAGAAACAATCGAATTAAAAATCTGTAACTCCTCTAAAAATCTTCCGGATTAGCTAATTGTTTTGTAAATATAAAATCTATATAAAATATAAGACGCTTGGCCAAACAATTTTTCACACATCCTTTATTCACGCAGTCTGAGTCGGCATGACCGGGATCAATGCTAGACTCTAGAAAATTCATTTTTGGCGGGGATAAAACTGCACGACTTCGATCGTTTTTGAAGATAGAAACTTGGGACTTTTTTTTGCCATTTTTTTTAAAAGAAAGTAATATAATCATGCAAAGCGAGAGAGCAGTTTGCAACCTACTGTATCGCTTCAACTCGCTTAAAGCTTTCAATTGTTTTTTTGCATTCTCTTATTTTAATGCAGTTTATTTTAAAATCACGCCTGTTTGAAAGCTCAGATGGTAATTTTGTTAATATATAGTTTAATTTATTTTTATATTTATAGTACTATTAATATTTATAATTAATTAATATTTTATATTTATAATACTTTTATTTAATATATGTATGGTCAAAACTCGAAGTAGACATCCGGGAATAGTAAAAAAAAACTTTTCTAAGTGGTTTCGAAAGTCATTATAAAAATTGTTGAGCTCTCCTTATCGTTCATACTGCAGTGAACGCCACTTTTTTTTAACAAAAAGTTAATAACTTCCAGAGACATCGAACGGTATATTAACTATAGAAATAGTTGGCATGAAAAGTTTTTCAAAAAAACTTTCTGTACTGGCGCTACAGAAATTCGCAATTTGTGGGGACGGGAGATGGCGTGGCCAAATTTTCAAACAAACTTGAACTGCGTGGGTATTGTAGGACTCTCCATGCCAAATCCTATAGCTCTATTTCTAATAGCTTCTGACATGGCTATATCGACTCGGATGACGATGCTGATCAAGAATATATATACTTCATGGGGTCTGAGATGATTCCTTCTCTATGTTACATACACTCACACGACTGCAATATACCCTTATACTCTACGAGTGACACTTAACTGGGGTAGTTTGTCTCCGACCAAACTCGTTCAAAGTTTTCAAGTCCCTCTGGCGGAGACGGACGATCCCCTTCACTAAATTCGAAATAAAGTAATAATTTCACTAAAACAAAAATGGTTTTCCGTCCCATCTTTTTTTTAGGATTGTTTACCTTTTTTTTATAAAAAAAAAACTTGTTTTAATTATACTTGGATGTTAAATCTTAAGTTGATAAACACACATGGAAAATATTTTTAATTAAAATACACCGATAGGTACAAAAATGAGAAATGCATTAAAACAACCCATTGAAATTGGAAAGAATTTTTTTTTTGCATTGAATCAATTCAATCCATTCATTCATGAATATCCCATTCCTTTGGCTTGGGATGTGAAGGATGTGTTATTTAATTGTTACTCAAGAAGCAGCCAGAATGTATGCTAAATACAATAGGGGGAAATTTGTATGTGGATTTCAACCAATTCAACAAATTTCAACAAATCTATTTTTTTTTTCTATTTGTCCAACATTGAACTTTGAAATGGTTGAGACCCTAACTCAGAAAAAGAACCTTCGAGGCTTCCTCATCTTTATTTCGAATGGTACCTTCATTCATTTTTTTTTTGGTTAAGTATCATTTAATAATCCGTATATTCTTGGTTTTATAAAGTATACTTCTTATGGTTTATATTGTTTTCCTAAACTGATACTGAATCAGTACGTTAGCATTCCCTTTAAAATATGTACAATTTGCTTTCAAAAAAAAGATTATATTACTTTGATTGAAATTATATTTTTACGCTTCAAATTCATCTTATACCTTTCTTAAGAAAAAGGTATAAAGGTAAGGTTTCTTTGTTTTAGTTAAAATATTCAGTTCAGATTCCATTTATTCAGTTTCAAACCTATTCAGTGTTCCTTTAAAGGACTCCCTTATATGTATATTAATCAAAATAGCAAGCATTCAGCTAATTATCTAACTTAAAAAAATTTAATAGGAAAAATGTAAATTTATACTTTTTAAAAATTATACAGTTAGTATCTTACCAATAGCCAAGGCTGTTTCCTGTGCATCTCCCGTGACCATTTTTACACGCACCCCGCTTTGCATCAGCATCTCAATGGATTCCCTAACAAGCGGCCTGGGTGGATCGGTAATGCCGACTAGACCACAGTATATTAGGTCCTGCATAGACCGGCCTTTGGCAAGTGCAAGTACGCGGAGTCCTTTGCGACCTATCTCATAGGCTTCGGCCAAAAATTCAGCTTCGTTCTGTTTGGTCAAAGGCACAGTCTGAGTGCCGAACTGGTACTTGGTGCACTGGGGCAACAGAGTCTCAAGCGCTCCCTTAGCAAAGAATATCTCCTCCTTGTTGTTGTTATATTTTTGGATACACTTAACGGCCATCATTTTTTGTTCTGAGCTGAAGGGGTACTCTTGGATGCGCACATAGTTCTCAGCTGTGGCATACATACCATTTTTCATAGCCACCGCCACCAAAGCGCCTTCGGTAGGTTGACCAAGTAACGTTCCGTTTTGAATATATGCGTTGTTGCAGACAGCCCCTATCTCTAGAAGATTCGTGATGTTTGTCTTGGCCATCTCCACATTGTTGCAATGCCGGATGTGGATCTCTCCTTGGTCGTTATAGCCTGCTCCGGTTACATCGGCCATGTAGCCGTCTGAAGTTATGATAATCGTTGCAGTCATCTCGTTCTTAGTGAGGGTGCCAGTTTTATCCGAGCAAATCACGTTGACACAACCCAAAGTTTCAACGGTGGGTAGCTTTTTAACAATTGCATTTTGCTTAGCCATCCTCATTACGCCCAGCGCCAGCGTTACTGTGACAACGATTGGCAGACCCTCTGGTATAGCTGCTACCGCGAGAGAGACACTAATGTTAAACATCTCTGAGAGCGGCTTACCCTGCAACCAGCCAAGCAACATGATGACGCCAATAATGAGAAAGGAGTAAAAGCTGAGTTGAGCGCCAAGAATATCCATCGATTTCTGCAGTGGCGTCTTAGGAGCCTCTTCGGCCTGCATCATCTTAAACACCTCACCAAACTCACTGCGTTCTCCAGTGCTAACTACAATGCCTTTACCATTGCCGCAACGCACCAACGTCCCCATGAACGCTATATTCTTCATGTTGCTGTGGTCCTTTACGTTCGAGTTATTCAGAAGAACGTCAGTAATTTTTCGCGCGGGCTCAGTCTCTCCTGTAAAGCTGCTTTCATCAATAGAGAGGTCCACAGCTTCAAAAAGACGAACATCAGCAGGCACACGGTCACCTACGTTGAGGTACACCACATCGCCGGGAACCAATTCGCGAGCCAGGAATGTGTCCAGCCTCCCTTCGCGAAGGCAATGGCACTCAGGAGGAACAAGTTTCTTTAGCTCCTCTAGGCTTTTCTCGGAGCGGTATTCCTGAATAAAAGCCACTGTGACCACTATGAGAATAGCGATGGTTATGCTAACGGCATCATCAAACTGCTTCATGATTACGGACACCAACGCCGATCCTAAAAGTAGTAGTATAAGTGGATTCTTGAACTGCTCAATGTACTTCTTCCAGGTAGGGTCTTCCTCAAGAAGCAAAAGCTCATTATGACCGATGATCTTGGCCCGGTACTTTGCCTCCGTCCATTTGAGCCCGGTCCGCACGTCGACCTGCAGCCGGCCAGCCACTTCAGAGGCGCTATGCGTGGATGACTCCGAAGTGGAAAGAAGCATTTCAGGAGTAAGTGTGAGACCCGTCTAAAAAATTAAAGAATAAAGAAACCCGATTATAAGATGTTTTAAATAATTATGCATTATAAGTAGTTTTTCAGATCAAGCGCAACCAAAAAATTCAAAATGCAATAAAAGATTTTATTTCACATATTTTTATAGAGAATTTATTAAATTGATATAGTTTATAGTTGAAGTTGATATACCATTGAAGTTAAGATAGGATATATATCGGAAATATAGGACAATTGACCTTGCATATATATATAGTTGGCTTATATCCTATATAGGTCCTACTATATCCTATAGGTAAAAAGAACCTGAACGATCGAAAATGTCCCAACTTTAGTATTTTTAAAGATAGAAGATTCGATCTTTTTTTAAATTTTGTATTCTAAAAAATTGGGTTTATAATGAAAATATCATCGTTATCATAATGAAGATCGGTCAACTATGTATTTCCGATATTTGCGATATATATCGTTATCTAACTGCAAGGGTATATCAACTTGAGACGCCGACTTACACTACCCATAGAAGGACACATTGTGATCGCTAATTTGAGATTTTTGCTACCAAAATAATAAACCCACATCATTAATTACAAAGCTTATACCAGTAATGGATTGGTAACATTTTAAAATTTATTACTTCTTAGTAATATCAATAATGAGTAATATCAATATGATAATAATAGAAAGTCATGTACACCAAACCGGATTAAAATAGACATCAGAAATAAAATACTTCAGAGGGAACTACGTGTTAGCTTAATAGTTCGTTATGTTTAAGTATAGTAAATTACTGTCGTTAGTAAAAAAACTCATTTGATAGTTCTGGAAGAAAAAGTGATGAGAAAAACTTCGAAATAGAAATCACATAGAAATCACAAAAATTCAAACCAACACCGCGAATAAAAACGGATGTAAGTATGTACAACTCAAATAAGGGCTCGTCTGGCCAAGTGTGCTTTTATGATAGGTGTACCACTTACGTCAGAGGCATTGATGACTATCATCTTCACGGACTTAAATACCCTACAATGGGGCAATTCTTATCAGCACGGAGTGGATGCCAGCCCACCCATTCACTGCAACTGCAGGCCCACTGAACGCCACTTTGTTTCGGCCGATTCGGGAGCGTTTATGGTAGTGGCTTGTTTTATCTCCTCGGTCACGCACGAGACTCCAATATGAATAGCAACGTTTACTGGCTTGAACTTGTAACACATACTACGTGCACTGATTTTAAGCCTTGATTTGAAGTCCCCTAATCTAATGGGAAAGTATCGACAAATCGGTTTTTTTATTTTCTTTCTGTCATGCGATACAAAATAAATGAAGCGGTGCCACTTTAGTCAACGGAGTCCGAAGAATTGTTATTGCTCATTACAAAAACGATAACGTGGCTCTGTGGTTTTTGGCTCTATCGCACAAGTATTGTTTAGGCGATGCTGGCGTTCCTTTCTTTTTCTAAAATTTTCACTGATCAATGGCACAACTATCACTTGACAAGAGACGTGTGTCTTAGGATGGAGGACCGTAGGAGGACCGTACGAAATCCTATAATAAAACGTCGATTTTTCGATACGGCGATATGTAGATGTCCCCGGTGTTGCTTCAGAAGCTCGGAACACGACTAATGGAATGGGTTGCGCTCAGGTAGGTACAAAGTTAGAAAAATGAATTAATTGACTGGCGGAGTAACAGCACGCCATGTATCTATGTGAGCGAGGCTGTGAGTGGAGCGATAAAAAACTAATGAGATGTGGACAGACGAAACACCAGCGGCAAAAGCACCGAAAGGTGACAATCACAGTTCAGTACAACAAAACAATAACGAAACTGTGATGCACAAACAAGACGCGAAGGAGCGGCAAACAGATGATCCGCATCTTTGTGAAACTCACGCGATCGGAAACGTCGTGAAGAACTTTACTATGTCACATGGAGCCGGGATTTCTTGGTTTGATTCGCTCGGGACTATAAAACGCGTTTCGATAGACTTTTTTCCTACTGTTTCTCCCAATTCTTAAAAGCATGAAGAATAGGGATCACGAGTGAGAGATGCCAACGTAGCTTACTTTCCGCTAAATCTAGCTATGTTAAGTGTCATCCCTGTTACTGTGTTTTGTTTTAGAAAATAAATTTAATTTTCATTTTGACCGCAATTACAACTAAATAATTTAATTTCTTAGAACATCTAACGACTTCTTATTAAAAAAAAGGCACTAAATAATGGTTCGATTATTTCATTTATTATGATATTATACTCTACCATTATCTACTTGGATATGCAATCGGGCTTAGTTGCAAAATAAACATCGTGTTCTTTTTATTAATTAAGAAATGTAGCTATTTTTTGCTGATTGAGTTAACCTATTCAGCTATAATCGACGGTCAATAGTTGGCAACACTGATAGCAGCGATAACAGTGCTGAAGGTGCTGTTAACGCAAAACCACTCGTATTTCAAAGAGCAAGGGAAGATTTGGGAAAACTTTATGTTTGAGTGATTCCATTTGGAAGTTGCCGATATGATCATTATCTAAGTATCGTATCGATTTCAGTTGCTAATTACTCAATTTTAAGTCATCCCCTATCTCTGTTAATAGCCGTAATTACAGTTCTGTAATTTTTAAAATTTCAATTCATTGTGTTGCCCCTGCCATTTAATTAGTATATGCAAATCCCTCAATTACACTTGACGCGTGAGAGATTTTCTAATAGTTTGGCTATTGCTCCAATAGTACAATGTATCGGAAACTGTAGTTAACAATCGCTGCAAATTTTGATATCCACCTGGTCCAGGCAAAAGCGCATTAAGTTGTTACTACACAATCTACACATATACATATTCTATATACTATAAAGCTAAATTCTGTAGAACTTACCCACAGAAAAAATAATGGATGAGATTTTGATTTTCAATTTGTGTTTTGCATAGCTCTAGCTTTATCACGTGAATCTGCTTAAATCACGCGGGTATAATAGATTTCAGAAAAAGTGGAAGTTAGATTGGATAGTTTTAGTTTTTGAGTTGAAATATTTTCGCAAATCTAGTTTTTATAAATTTGATTGGTAACAAAGCAGTCACAGCGGATATAATCATGCTTATTCACCTTTATCCAACAAAGATAACTTTATAAATCCTCTCACCTGATGAAGAATCTCCTGGTCGTGCTGCGACTTGTCTTTTTTAATGGTATTGGTCAATGAAACATTTTTAATCTTTGTGTTTATTTCTTTTCTCTGAATTTCTAGTGTACTACTGAAAGGCTCATTAGACGTCGTCGCAATATCTTCCTGGGATCCTTAAGACAGCGGAAATTCAGAATTATTTCCCGTCGGCGAGACGTTTGACAGTGGGTGGCGCTTTCTTAAAAAACGCGTTTCTGACATTTGAGCGAATTTTGACTGAAGCTAAACTCAATGATAAATGGAAAAAATTAAAAGTGGAAAACCTCGTCTAGCTGTAATTAAATAGGGATGCGAAACTAAAAACCTTTGTACTTTATTTAATTGGACACTCAATAATGTCACAAGGTAAGTAGAAAATATCCTTCACGGCTCGATAAAACTCTAATGATACGGCTATATTTAATAAAATGTGTGTAAAAAAGAACACCAAGCTCTCTGTTTTATATATCGACTTCAAACTTTGCACAAATTGTTCCTTTTTTTGCACGCAGTATAGACATAATTCTCTACGGACGGAATCGGTGGACTATATCCTAAAACTGCCGTATATCTTTGGTTTAAACTATTAAAGTTTCAAGGATGGGACTTTCTTTGTGTTCAGATTTGGAATTCAATAAGATTTCATTAGCTAATTATATTTGTGATATATTAAAAAGTATATTCTTAAAACTAGATATTTATGCAACCATGCTACCAAATACAAATATAAAATGTTCATAACTATTCGAAAAATCGTCTTTCGATTCTATTTTAAGACCATCCGATATTTGCGATATTATTCCGCTCTTAGCTAAGTTTGGTATAACAAGAAAGGAAAGCTAACTTCGGAGCCAAGGTTGATATACCCAGCAGTTAAAACCGGATATATATCGGTAACATCGGATATAGTTGGCCGATCCTTATGAGAATATCACAATTCAACCAATTCCTTACGATACAAAATCTAAAAAAGTCCCAAACTTCTACCTTCAAGAACACCAAAGTTTCCGATCGTTCAGTTATAAGGGAGCTGTAAGATATGTATAGTCGGCCGATCGCTATGAAATTTGGCAGGTCGGACCAACTGACATAATAAGAGTCTACGATAAGTCTAAGATAAGATTTTGGTTGGAGTATTGATTTTTTCGAATTTTGACGCCTAAAATTCTAATATCATAAAATAATTCAGGCCATTTTCTCTTCGCAGTTATTGTTTTATTCTTTTTTTTTCTAAAGGGCTAAATAAAAACAAATTTAGATTTTTTTTGTTAGGTTTACTGTATAAATACTTTTGGGCACGTCCAACAAAAATTTGATAATAATAAATAAATTACGTTTTACCATCTTTTACAGAATCACAAAATATTTTTCTCAAAATCGAAACCTCATGTGCACTTTATTGTTCCGTATCTTAAAGTCATGGAGAAGAAGACTTGTCAATATGCCATTTAATATTTTCACGTTTTTGCTTGAGTGACAGCTGCCATCTGCCACAAACTCGAGTGTAATCAACGTAAAACTTCTTTATGAAACGGTCCACTATGAAAAATTTAGACCCCGATATTGGGTCAAAGAAAAAAAAATTATACAATTAATAAATTAATTTACTCTTGTATCCTGAGTTTATATAAGAATATCCTTCTTCCCATCGGTTTTTAAGCTATCAATTCGTTAGCTTCACAAATCCTCCTTTCCTGGTTCGGTCAACTACATATATCGGAAATGCCATAACTTGTTTATACCCTTACAGAGGGTATTAATATTTTGTCCAAAAGTGTGCAACGCAGTGAAGGAGACATCTCCTACCCTATAAAGTACATATATTCTTGATCAGGATCACCTCCTGAGTTGATATAAGCATGTTCGTTTGTCCGTCTGTCTGTTTCTACGCAAACTAGTCTCTCAGTTTTATAGCTATCGTCTTGAAACTTTGCACACACCCTTCTTTCATTTGCACGCAGTATATAAGTCGGACCGGATCGGCCGACTATATCCTATAGCTGCCGTATAACTGATTGTTATAACTAGCCATATAACTGAACGATCGGAAATGACCCAACTTTCGTGTTTTTGAAGATAGAATGCTGGAACTTGGTACAGATTATATTTTTGGTCAGTTACTCCGACCAAATTTCATAACGATCGGCCGACTATATCTTATAGCTGCCATATAACTGAACGTTAAAATTAGTTTCCTAGGATAAGCAAACATTGTACTACTCAATATTTCATTAAGTTAAGGTCCCATTATAAAATTTAATTATTGTCCATAACTCCGGACAGATATAACTATTGATTGATTGATAAAAAAAAATATATATATATAACTGAACGATTGGAAATGGTTTTTGGTAGAAATATCAACTTTGGTATTTTTGGAGATAGAAGTTTGGGACTTTTTTTAAATTTTGTATTATAATAAATTGGGTTTTATTATCATATTCTCATAACGATCGGCCAACTATATCCGATGTTTGCGATATATATCCGGTTTTAACTGCAAGGGTGTATAGCTTTCCTTTCTTGTTTTTTTTTAACTATAAGGATGGCCCATTTTACGGATTCTATATAAGAAATTTTTCTAAAAAATCAAATTTTTGATTCCAACTTGTTCCAAGTTAACAAGTTTTTGAAGATAACAAGTTAAAGCACGAACTTACACATATTCGACAGATTGTATTTAGATTTATTTTTCTTTTAACTGTCATAAACCTACCCAAATAAGAGAGAGAGAATCACATAAAAAAAAAACTTGTATTTTATTGCAATTTTCAGAATCCTCGATTTATTTATATTTATTTATAATACAGAATCTATTGCAAAATGTGATTTGGATCATCATATACTTTTCAAAGGTTTAATCATTTAAAAAATTGAATAAAAACTGTAAATTTTATAAATGAAAGTACAAGGTCTTTCCTGGTGAATAATTCGTTGAGATGGGAAAATGTATAGGATTCTACCATGTCGATACCCGGAAGTACCCCTATGTGGTCATTTATAAATATTGTTTTTAAATAAATATCCATATCATTTAACAAATATTTTTTTTATACAAGTGTGAATAATCGAAATAATGTTATTAAGACGCATATGCTTTTGATTGTTCTTTTTGGTATTTGCGTTCCAGATACTCCGACAAAAAATATTATATGTACATATGTATGTATATTAAAATCTTACGCCATTAAGGGGTTAAATTCATAACGATCGGAGCATTAGAACCGAAGCTGTAGCTATTTATAGCGCACTATCTGCATATAAAACTTGAACAAACTTGAAACTTTAAACGCGATTATCTCAGAATCTTTTTTTTGGGAAATTACCTTTGCGGTGGACACGATTACTAAAAAACTAGTAATCCGATCAACACCAAATTTTGACCACTAATTTATTATGATATTAGCTAGTCCGTGAACGAGGGATTTTCTATTTTTTTGAAAACTCCTTTTTTAAAGCACAAAAAACGAAATTCCATATTTTTGCGCGGTACAACTGTATATAACCCCTTAAGGGTCTACCAAAAGTTCAGAAAGATAGAAAAAACCAAAAAATGTATTTACATATACAGGTGCAATTAAAATAATTGTAGTGCCCATTTGGGCTACTTGGGAAAATGAGATAAAGTTTCTTTGAAACCCCTAACTAATAATAGATGTTTATCGTTGTTGAACGTTTTGGATAACTCAAGAAACTTTTCAGAAAATATGTTTGGTATGTATTAGTATGTTAGCCTAAATAAATTTTCTAAAAATGTTTTATATTTAATTAAACCGCATTTGTTAGCTATAGCTTCACACCGTTTTAGTTTTCACATCAAAGATTCTACCTAATTTTGGCATCACTCGCCAGTATGTGAGGAGATTTAGTCTCCCCACACGCGAAGACAGATA